TTTGTGGTGCTGGGGATTGAACCCAGGGCCTAGTGCATGCAAGGCAAGCACTTTTTTTTTTTTAACCAACTGAGCTATATCCCCAGCCCCCAGATTTCTTCATATCTTTAAAGAACCATCTAGAATGTACTTTTATTTGTAAATATGTTCTTAAAAAACAAAACCAAAAAATGCTGTTAGTGTCACTATACATAAAACATTTTCTGGCTTACTTTTTGGCTTTATAAAGCTACTAGAAATGATGGATTACATTTCTCTTTTCAGGGTGACTGTCGGTCCTACAGTTATGTTTGTGGAATCTCCAGTAAAGATGAACCTGACTGGGAATCGCTCATCTTCCTTGCCCGACTCATTCCTCGGATGTGTCACAACATAAACAGGTATCTTCTGCAGGAGGTGGGGTTGAGGGAAGCACAGAGATGTACGTGGAAGGACAGTGTTTTAAGGTCTTCTTATTAGATGAAAGACCAAAAGGTTCAAGTGTAGATAAAGAAAAGCTAGTGACTCTGTTTATATTTCAGTTATATGCTTTGGTTAGGGTTAAGTAGATATTGAGTATTATCTCGTGTTTTGATCATCCCAATGTAATCATCTATCTATTTATTTTTAATATTTTTCTTTAGTTGTAGTTGGACACAATACCTTTATTTATTTTCTAAGTGGTGCTGAGGATCGAACTCAGCGCCTCACATATGCTAGGCAAGCCCTCTACTGCTGAGCCCTAGCCCCAGCCCTCATTTATTGTTATTTAAAGTAGAAATAGGAAGGATTTTAATTTTAGTATAAAATATTAAAGGTAGTTTTAAAGCATGTTGTTTTAGTCAGCTTGGCATCACTGTGACTAAAACACCTGAAAAGAACAATGTAGAGGAGGAAAAGTTTATTTTGGCTCATGGTTTTAGAGGTTCAGTCTATGGTCAATGCCCTGGGCTCAAGGTGAGGCAGAACATCATGGTGGACAAGGGTGGAGGAGGAAAGCAGCTCAGGACATGACACTAGGCAAGAGTTCTGCTCATGGACATAACTGCCAGCAGCACACCCTGCAGTGATCTGCCTGCTCCAGCTACCCCCACCTGCTTACAGCTACTGCCCAGTCCATTCCTATCAGTGGGTTAACTGCTGAGTATTGAGGCTTGCACACCCAGTGAATGCTTCATCTCCAAACATTGTCACATTGTCTCACACATGAGCTTCTGGGGTACACCTTATGTGTGGACCACAACATGGGTCTCTATATTAATGGTATGAACTCAGTTTCATGGTAACATGCTGTTTTCAAGGGAGATTGCAAAAAAGTTTGTTGGGTTCTAGAATTACATACCAGATTGGAAAGTTAAAAGAAATAGGCTTGTGGCAGATATCATTAAATAGTAACATTGAAGTGTATGATTGGCAGTTTTCAGATTTTTTTTTCCTTTCATTTTACATCAATGTCTTACAGTAGAAATACCAACAGATGGTTTATAGACTATTCCCGATACTCCTACAGTTTAAAATTGTCACTTGTTTAGTGCTGGATTGTTAATTAAATGTTTTTATTTCACAGTTGTTAGCACTTTGCAATTTTTTATGGGTATTAGGCAGTTAACAACCCAAAATAATCACTTGGGGTTTCATTTTCCTCAAGTTTGCTATAGAAGTGAGAAAACTCCCCGTTAGCACTAACTTAGCTGAGTCTGCATAGTTATGAGGAGTTATAGGGAAAGTTGTTTGGGACATTATAATTTATCTTCTGAAGCATGCTAATAGTCTCCATAAACTTTGTATGTCAGAACATTTTATTTTTTGGGGCGGGCTGGGGATTGAACTCGGGGACACTTGACCAATGAGCCATATCCTCAGCCCTATTTTGTATTCTTTTTAGATACAGGGTCTCACTGAGTCACTTTGTGCCTCACTTTTGTTGAGGCTGGCTTTGAACTCTCGATCCCCTGCCTCAGCCTACCAATTACAGGTGTGCGCCACTGCACCTGGGGAACATATTTCTAAGTGTCTTCTGATTGCTTTTAATAAGTAGCATGTTTTTTATTATGTCTTGTGTTTTTTTTTTTTTTATCTACACATGACATTACAATGATCTTGGCAATTCATATCATTGGGGTATAATTTCTCATTTTTCTAATTGTATAGATTACAGAATCACACTGGTCATAGAGTCACCTGTATACATATATCAATCATAATGTCTATTCTGCTGCCCTTCCTATCCCCCCTATTCCTCCTCTCCCCTCCCATCATTTCTCTCTATCCCATCTAATGTGACACACTTTTTTTTTCTTTTTATCATCACAACATCATATATGTATTCTGAATAACAATGAGGTTCTCCTTCCATCTTCCGTGCAGTTCCCCTTCTCCCTGTTTTCCCTCCCACCTCTCTTCCCTATTTAGTGGTAGTCGTATTCTCATGCTTGTGTTCTTTGCTAAAGCACATTCACTTTTACTTATAAGCTTCATCCTTTCAGGTGCTACTTTTTCCCTTATCTATTTCTTCCTTTCTCGACCTTTCTTCTCTCACCCCTCAGAAAAAGAAAAAAGGTCAGCAAGTTAACAACTAGATCTTAAAACATGAACCCAGCAAGCCCTTGAGTCTCAGTGGGCTTACATGCTTTGCCAAGTTCCTTTTTGGAAATTGGAATTTTAAAATATTTTTCTGTTTTCATGATGTTTTTTTCCTAATTTGGAAAGGGAACCTTTGCCCATGGAGGGACTGTACCAGTTTTACTCATCTGCACAGTGTGGGTATCTATTTTCATGTCCGTTGTTGCAGCCTCTCCTGTAGGAAAGGAGAAGATGAAAAGTGCAGGTTCGAGGCTCTCAACCAGTTCCCTTCTCCTTTGTGATATTTTACGGGCTTTAGGAGTGACAGTGTTTACATGAGGTATGGCTTACTTTCTAGGGACAAAACCTTCTTCTACAGTGTGTTTGGAGGGAGTCAGTGAAGTAGTTGGGTAGCGATAGTTTTCATCTAAAGTTTTCTTTTGTATATTTTGCTGCATGTGGATATTAAGCAAAGACATTATTAAACTTTTGTTTTCTTTGCTAATGGTAGACTGGCCTGAGAACCAGTTATCTGCTGGCTGTGGTTGGCATAGGGAAAACTGGGTGCACTCAGATCTCTGCCTGATTCCCTCTTGTTTTTCTAGTAAAGATTGTGACTTGGCAAGGCACACTTTGGGCTGTTACAATTTTCTGGTCCTGATTTCTTCAAGTTATGCTCCAAACCCTTATTAACACTTGCAGCGTCTTCATGTCTTTCAAACAGATATTTCCTTAAAGTGTCAGTAAGATACTCTTCTGGGAAAATTGTAGCAGGATACTAAGTACTATTTGAGTGACATTTTTAATAGTGTAGAAATTATGGGGTTTGGGGCTGGGGATGTGGCTCAAGCGGTAGCGCGCTCGCCTGGCATGCGTGTGGCCCGGGTTCGATCCTCAGCACCGTATACCAACAAAGATGTTGTGTCCGCTGCAGAACACTAAAAAATAAATATTAAAAATTCTCTCTCTCTCTCTCTCTCTCTCTCTCTCTCTCTCTCTCTCCTCTCTCACTCTCTCTTAAAAAAAAAAAAAAGAAAAAAAAGAAATTATGGGGTTAAAAAACGTGGGCTAACTAGGTTGAAGAAATTGGTCTTACCTTCGAGCTTTTCCAATGCATGTTAGCATGTTACAATTTCTGAAGTCTTACCATAAAGAACTTATGCTAGGTTTCTGTTCACTTGACTAAAAGGCTCAGGGGTCACTCCAGTTAAATTGGGCTAATTGGGCTGCGCAAAATAACCACACAAGAGACATAAATACCTTTAAGGTCGCTGTGACGGCTCCTCTGACCTTAAGGGTCTGTAGGAAGAGAGAGCGAGAGCCCGCGCTGACCCCTTTTATCGAGGAGAAGGTATTCAAATGAGGCAAGGGGGTCAGGTTCCACTGTCAGCAGGTTGACTGACATCTGGGTAGGCCACACCCAAGGGCACAGTAAGAGAAGGGGATACACACACAAGGCACTTCCATGGAAGATTCTATCTAAACAGGTCGAGGGGTTATAACAGGTGAGCATAGCTTCACTCATGAGGCTGTAGCAAGAGACACCCATGCACGAGACATCGACCCTCAAACCCAAGAAGGGTGGGGAAAGCTCTGCCACATTTCTGTGACTGAGCACCTCAGCAGCCAGTTGGGGGGTGTGACTCAGTCACGTGTGAGGTTGGTCTCCCACAAACCTATTTATTTGTTAACTATGTGTATTGATTTCCTGATGCTACCTGTAATAAATACCACAAACTGGGTGGGCTTAACCTAGCAGATACCTATCCTTTTAGAGGCCAGAAGTCTGAAATAAGGGTGCTTGGCTGGACCATGTTCTCTGTGTTGATTCCAGAGAAAGATCCGCTCTTGCCTCTTCCAAGCATCTATGGTGGTCCTGGATGTGGTGGTGTCTTGCTGGTCCTCAGCTTGTGACAGTAAAGTCCAGTGTCTTTCTCCATATTCCTGTGGCACACTTTAATCTGTGTGTGTCTGTTTCCACACTGCTTGTTCTTGGGCGGGGAGGTGGCTCACTGGTAAAATGCTCTCCTACCATGGTGAAGGCCCTGAGTTTGATCCCTAGCATTGTAGCAAAACAACAAAACCCCCCCAAACAACACAAAACCAAATTTCCCTGTTCTTATAGGACACTGGTCATTGGATTAGGGCCCACTGAAGTCTAATATGACTTCGTCTTGGTGACATCTGCACACCTGTTTTTACCCACAGGTTCTGACTGGTCATGAATTTGGGGGAACATTCAAACCAGTACATTATGTGAAAAGGTTGTAGTGGTCACATAAACCCGTGCACACGGAGTGCTGGTATCCAGGCGGCACACTCGGAAGGAGGTGTATTTGCGCCTGTCCTGGTCCTGGCTATTGGGAGCTGAAGCCAGTCGGAGGTCGTAGGCAAGTGGAAAAGTGGTGGACTGTGCCTCCCTTCTCCTACTGAACTCTGATCGTGAACTTCCCCTTTCCTTCTAGAGTTGTCTACATCTTTGGCCCACCAGTTAAGGAACCTCCTACTGACGTGACGCCCACTTTCTTAACAACAGGGGTGCTCAGCACTTTGCGTCAGGCCGACTTTGAGGCTCACAACATCCTCAGGGAGTCTGGTGAGTTGCTCCTTCTGCTGGCCGCTGCACTCCCACTGTGTTGGGAAGCTTGGCCTTACGGTATCTAGCAGGAGGATGTAGCTTTTGATTTTTAATACTTTTGTTTTATGATTTATTATTGATAGTTCATTGATGTTGCCTTTAAATAAAATGTGTTTACTTTAAATAAAATGTGTTTACCTTTGTGGCTATTTGCAGACACAGCCAGAGCAGCTGAAAGTCTGAATTGCCTGCTCATGCCCAGAACAGCCAAGGTGTGATGGAGGCAGAGCGCTTCCTGCCTCCATTCTCAGGCTGTAAACAGGTGTCCTTTACACTGTGACGGTGCCATGCTTTTTACATTTTCGTGCTTTGCTAAATGATTTTGCTATGTAAAGTCACCCTTGAGCATGTTGCTTGAGTACTGTCATGGTACTGAACCCAATGAAGCTCTGATGTACCCTATAAGAAAACCTTTGTGCTAGGTGGGTTAGTCAGGCCTGAGTTACAGTGCTATTGGTTTTAAACTACAATAATGAGGTGTCCTGAATCGATGGAGATGTTCCCAGCAGCTTGGAGGCACCTCCTGGTTTTTCCCAGGAGCACCAAGTCCTTGTTTGCGGATTCAGGATTTGAGGATGGGACATGGCGTGACTGCCTTGGATGAGAATCCACTCTCCCTCTCTAGATGTCCCTTCTCTGGAACTGTGCTGCACGGGTTAAATTTGGTGAATTTGTATTTGTGGTTGAGTCTGCAGCCCTGTGGGAGGAACCCAGTGCCTGATGACTATCCTGCCTGGGGGTGCCCATGCTGACCTTGTCTGGGCGGAGTCACAGAAATAGGTTCTTTTCCCTGGTGTGTGGATTGGTTCTGCATATCTGTTTCCCTAGGGTATTCTGGGAAAATCAGCCAGATGCCAGTGATTTTGACCCCCTTGCACTTCGATCGAGACCCACTTCAGAAGCAGCCTTCATGCCAGAGGTCTGTGGTCATTCGAACCTTCATCACAAGTGACTTCATGACTGGTGTGCCTGCGACACCTGGCAACGAGATCCCTGTGGAGGTATGCATGTTTCTTTCTAATGTGCATTTCAGGACCTCATGATTCTATGATACAGTGACTTGAATAGGCTGTGCTGAAGTTGATATTTTTGGGATTGGTTCTCTTTTTTTTTCCTGTCTTCGTTTATTTGACCATTTAATATTTGGCAGCAGAAAAGGCCCTTAAATTTAATATGCCCTGCAGATGTCTGATTGCTATGTAGAAAGTCACCAACTGTAATTTACAGTTTTATCTAATCCTGCCAGCCCCTGTACTTCTCCAAGTGCAGGAAACCCTGGGAGTGAAGAGGAGTTTGTAAGGATGAGGTTTGATGGTGCATGGCCAGGTGTGAACCTCCTAAGGCTTTGCCTGTCATGCTTCCAGTTCCAATTTTGATCATTTTCTTTCACTCTCTTGTCTTTCCACCACAGTGGGCCAAAGGAGCCCCTTACATAATAGCAACTGAAAATCAAACTCAGACTTTAATGTGAGGTCCTGGTTCTAGCTGAATAGCTGGCTTGTGGGGAATGTGGCTTAAATTTGCTGAATCTTTGGCCAATCAAGTGACCAGGCCATCCTCTCTTCCTGTGCACTTTACAGTGACTGATGATAGTGCATCAGTGTCCCCTGCGTGGCTGAGTTGCACGTGTAAGCCACAAGTGACTTGTAGAGCCATTTACTGGGTGCCGTGGCAGTGTCAGGTCACTGTATATGTAGGCACTTGTGGACTGATGGCAGGCATCTCTTGTCTTCCAGTACCTGTCCGTGGACTACACTGAGTAGTACTGATTTGAAGTCACTAATATCTATTATAGAGTGAGATAGGTTCACTCTGTAAGATTATTCAGAGATCATTCCATGTTCATGAAGGATGGTAGTAAAACTAGATGACATCTGAATGTTAAATTGCAAAGCACGCCCTCTGGGACTGTTGGATGTGCAGTGGAATCTGACTCTTGTGTTTGTAATCTTTCTTTTTATCACAGGTGGTGTTAAAGATGGTCACTGAGATTAAGAAGATTCCTGGTATTTCTCGAATTATGTATGATTTAACTTCAAAGCCCCCAGGAACTACTGAGTGGGAGTAATAAACTTTTTGTTCTGTTAAAGTACTGTGTGCAGTTTAAATTGATTAGAAATCATTCTCATTATTAACATTCAGTACTGTGAAAAAAGTTACTGGAGCAGCTCCATCACATCCAAGTTCTCCACAGCAAAGATCTGCAGCTCTAGTGCGGAGTTATGGATAACCAAAAGGTACTGAAGAGTGTGGCTGGGCACTATTGCCCACACCCAGACAGGCCAGTGCTGCTTTTGCCTCTGCCTTGTGCATTCTTAGTATAGAATCACAGTTGCTATGATGTCTCTATCTACGAAGGTGGATGAGGGTGGGTGATTGGCCTCTTGTCTCCTTGCCAGTTTCTAAGAGGAGTTAGAAACACCCAGTGATTATCAGTGTGACTGTGTGTATCTTTTGGAGAATTTGGGTTTCCCTGTGACATTATTTCTGTAAAGGGTAAGGAAGAGATAAAACAAACTTCCTCAGACAAAGACATAAGTGGGCTGATCCAGTAGCCACTTTTACAAGATACTGGAGCTGTTGAACGTAAGCTACGGTGGGTGAAATGGGAAAACCACCTGGAATTTATGGAAGCACATTAGGATTTTATGACATCCCAGCTATGGGCAGGAAGAAACTCTGAATGTTCTCAAATGTATATGAACCATCTCACTGTTTTTAACCCTTGTTCCACGTCAGTGCCATGTTCCTCATGCCAGCCTGTTAACTGATAAGGAACTCTCCCAGCCTGTGCAGCTGCTCCCAGAGCCTTGCATGGAGTTTCTGCTCCATCTCCTGAAGAGTCTTCTGTTTCCATGATGTTGTGGTGTCCAGCGTAACACAGGTGGAGCTCACGAGGAGACTTGAAACCCTTGTTTTGTTGGTCAGAGGAGTCCCAGGGCACAGAAGCCGTGATGCATGCCTGCAGCCCAGGAGGAGAGAGGAAGATGCTTTCATCATCCAGTAAAGAGTTGTAAAATGACCTCTTAGGTCCGTTCTTTAAACAGATGCAATACTTGCTGCTCAGTCTGTGACCACTCTGGGCCCATGCAAGCTATTTGCCAAACCTTGTAATCCTTTCTCCCATCTAATCTGTGTGCTTGATGGCCATTGCTGCCAGCTGTTAAACTGATCCTTTATAGCATTCATATAAGCATGACAGAAACCTACAGTCATAGGCTTCAATTCTGCGTCTTACCTAATTTAGGTCTTGTCTAGTAATCAGGTACAAATTTTGTTTGGGATTCAGAGTGAGAAAAAACTTCTGTGTGGCAGAAGTCATATTTTCATTCTGGCTGGTCCAGAGACCCTTGCCAAATTGCTGCTGGACCGACAATGGCAGGTTCTGTCTGTCACAGCAGACACCCTTGCCCAAGGCCGTGGAGTGTGCATCTCCTGCAGAGCACAAAGGGTCATTCTCCATCCTGCTGAGGAGTCAGTCATAGTAGCCTTCCAGAAGGGAGGATATGATAGTGACCTGGTCTTAAGAAATTTTAAAAATGAATTTAGAGCTAGAATAGACCAGCTATCAAATGCTCACCAGCATGCATTCATACAAGTTGATGTTTTTTAAAAAAAAAAAAACACAAAAAACTCTTATTGCAGACATGTTCTATGGTTTTTGTATTCAAGCACACAGTGGGAATTACAAAGAATATATAGTAAGATCACCTCCCCTGCTGGTCCCACAGAACGCTGTTCCACTGTGATGTGAAAATGGCCAGGTGACCACAGAGGTTGGATCCTGGACATTCATAGTAAATGATGTTCAGAACCCTTGAGAAATTTGAAGTTAAAAAAATAGTTTTTTAAGTTTGCCTCACTTTTGTGTTTTTGTGATATTTTCTTCATAAACACCTCTTTATATAAAGCCTTCAACCTCTGCAGTACTGGGAATCCAGCCCAGGCCCCCACACACTGGGCCAGTGCTCTAGCACTGAGCTGCGCCCCACCCTGTGTAATCCTCCTCAGTACTAGAAAGATGGTTTCCCCAAAACACCTTCATGTGATGTGATTTAGTTTTTGAAAATATTTCCTGGAATTCAGAACTTTCCTAATATTTGATGTCTGTCTTCCTTTGCACAACACCTTACTTCATGCCGTACAGTGTTCCCCAGACCTCCACGGTATTCACCAAGCCACCGTGAAAAGGAAAGGTTGCAGTTCCATTTACAGCTGAGGAAATAAGCTCAACTCAGGAATGGTTACCTAATACAGTTAAGATTTTTTTTTTTTTAAGAGAGAATTTTAATTTTAATTTTTTTTTTTTAGTTTTCGGTGGACACAATATCTTTGTATGTAGTGCTGAGGATCGAACCCGGGCCGTACGCATGCCAGGCGAGCCTACCGCTTGAGCCACATCCCCAGCCCCCAGTTAAAAATTAAATGTCAGGTTTCCTTAGTCCCATTAGTCCTTTCATTAGTGTTTTCTGACGCCTAAAATTACATAAACGTAATTACTTGATGGGTTGTTTTTGGCCAATGCTAGGGTGACTTCCTGCCTCCAAGCATGTCACTAGTTATCCTGGGCAGATCATAGCCTCATATCTGTGCTCACCTCAACCTGGGACACTTCCCTGGTGTACACACACGATACCTATTAGAGGATGTCAGGTCAATGACAATATAATTTGCTCCTAAGATTGTCAGACAAAATCATTTTTAAAATAAATACAAAGTACCCAGTCCTGCCCATAGAGGATCATCAGCTATGTTAGCAGTAAAACCTGGCGTAGTTTCTGAAGCTGTGTTCAGGTGTGCCTGGGAGACAGGTTTGCTGTCTTCTCAGCTTCCATAATCTCAAGTAGCTGCGTGCATGTGGCCAGACAAGCACGTGCTGGTTTCCTGGCTGGGTCTCAGCCTCCCTCCTGATGACCTGTTTCAGAACACCTGGACTTCCTTCTCAGGTGAGGCCATTCAGGGGGAGCAGGCCACTCTGCCATCAGAGTCGGAGTAATAAACTTTTTGTTCTGTCAAAGTACCATATGCAGAAATCATCAGACAGTTGTGTCAACTTGGACAAGTCATTTGTTTCTTTTTTGGTCATTTTTTGACGATTCTGTATAGACCAGCAACACATGACCACTTGGGAACCCATCAGAATGTTCCTGGTGGCAGTGTGTTTTGAAAGCATGTTTTTGAGAGGGTATGCTTGGGCCTTGGGACAAGTAAAATTCCCCCCTCCTCAGCACCAGCCCTTGGCACAGCCACAGTCCAGGCTTTTGGTTTTCTGCATTGAAGAGGTAACTTTGCAGCCCTTAAGGCAGTGCTTGGAAGGAAGCTCTCTGTGCAGATGTCAGTCACAAATGCTTTGAAGTGAGAGTCCTCTTTGGACTATGTGAGTTTCATGAGATTGCACTCTTCTAGAAGTTTCTCTGATATCTTCACGCCCAGTGTCAGAACCCTGCCCCTTCCCACCTTCCACACCAGTCCTGTACACTGCTTGACAAACTCACTGTTTCTGGGATTTTCACTGAAATCTGGTGAGACTGGCCTTAGATAGCACCCCAGTGGATGCTCCCTCCCCTGTCTCATATCACAGATGTAACTGGAAACAGCACAGATGGATGCATCCCCTCTTGGATGCACCCTTTTGTCCTTATGGAGGTGACTTGGCTATACCAGGTGGTTCAGCAACCAGGGTGTCTTCCCCACTGTGGGGAAATGGCAGTGGAATGTCAGGGCCCTAATACTCCTGAATTGCTAGTCAGGGATCTCTACCTTGGTTGCCTGTTATTACTACCTGAAAAATTTAAAAAAAAACAAAAAATTATCCAGACCTCCAGTTAGACTAACTTAGAACCTCAGGGTGAAGCCTAAGCATTTGCCGTCATAAATCTCACAGTTGGAATAAGTTGTTATTGACGGACACACCTGGCCTGTCTAGTTCTGGCTTCAAATCCTAGTCAGACCTATAAGTGAGAAATGTAGGCTGCTGGGACTGTCTTCCCAAAGGTCTCAGCTAAATCCATTCAGATGAGGGGCCAGATTCTGGGTGTTCTGCCTATGCTATGTCATAGGGCAGACTCCTATGGTACTTTTGGGACAGCTTGAGATAATTACCTGTGTGAATGTCAACAATTGAACAGGCCTCTTTGAATCTCTTCCTACTCCTTTTACTTTTCCCTCAGAGGAGAGTCCATTCCTGTGCTGCAGCCACCCCAGTTCTGACAATAGCTTGGCCACAAACCTGAGCAGCTTTTCCTGCACCAGTGGAGAAAGTCTCCTGTGGCTGTCACCTGAGCATCTGTCTGAACAAGAGATTGCCCATATGAAACCCAAGTTTCCTGAAGTAGAACTGTGGAGCGCACTTTGTCTTTGTGGTGAATCCTTGGGCAGCTTGGGACCTTGTTATGGGCCCTTGGTTATGTGACCATGAGACCTCGGGGAGTCTTGGGCATATTAGGCTCAGCAACAGCAAGGTCCTGAGCTGTCCAGGAAGCCTGAACCTTGAATAAATCCAAGTGGAATTCTTGTCTTTGCAGAACAGATTTTTTTCCCTTTTAATATTTTTTTAGTTACACAGAATACCACTACTTTATTCATTTTTTTTAATGTGCCGTGTATTAAACCCAGGGCCTCACATATGCCGGGTGAGTGCTCTACCGCTGAGCTGTGAGCCCAGCCCCAGAACAGATGTTTAAGATAAGTAATTTTCTGTCTTTGCATCTACTGTGACCATTGTTACAATCTTATAACACATGAAGAAGTGAATGTAAACCTCTTGCACAAATTTTTATAAAGAAATATTTTGTTAATTGGAGCAGGTAGTAGCTGTGAAATCACCACTGTGCTGTACTGCAGTGTCTGTTATAACTGCCACATAAAACAGCTTTGCTAAAATGAATGTGAAATGACTGATCTTTTTTGTCTTCAGTGTGCTTTATAAAGGAGGAAATGACGACTTATATTTTGTCATTAGGCCTCAGTGTTTATCAGAAGGTGAGAGAAATAAGAGCAAAGAAGACAGATGTTTTCAGAATATGTGAAATAAATCATACCCACTGTCAGGGATTTCTTGAAAATAAACCATCTGTTTCCCTTACCTATGTGGGAGGGTCAGCATTTTGCACATGTTAGCAGTGGACAGAAAATACTGCATAACTTTTCAACTTAGTTATCAGCTAAAAGTGTTCTCATGCCTGTGTGATTTCAAAATCAGTCATATATGCATATATATGAACAAACGTGACTTTCCTACATGTCATGTATATTTGATCACATCTTTTCTCAGTTTCTCAAAACAAATTACTTCTATGATTTTGGTATATAACTTAAATTCTTTTAATTGGAACTGTGTTATGTTTGTATGAGTGAAGATTAGAGGAGATAACCATGCTTATTTTTAAGTTTTTAAATTTTTTAATATGAGGGATGGAACCCAACCATGCTTAACCACATAAGCCACATCCCTGGTCCTTTATTTTTTCTTTCAGTTTCTCACCAGGTTGCTTAGGGCCTTTGCTAAGTTGCTGAGTTTGGCCTCAAACTTGCAGTCCTCCTGCCTCTGCCTCCCCAGCTGCTGGGATTACAGGTCTGCTATCACGCCCAGCAACAACCATGTTTAGAAACCAAATTCATTGATTATTTTCAGGCCACACATTGCTCTGGCCTGTTTTCTTTAAGATCAGTGACCTGGTCAGGCATTCTGAGAAGACTAGTTAATTCAACTGTATTTTGAAAGTTTTTTTTTTTTTTTAAAAAAAACATAGCTTAAGATAAAAATATTAGTTCTTATCTTCAAATCTTAGATAAAGCTATAATTCTACCTTTCAAAAATACTTCTATAAAAACTATACCACACAAAATTTTAAAATATTCTATGAATTATTCTAAAGAGTTTATGTAGAATAGATCCTAAGAAAAGTAGTTAGAAATCTGATCACTTTGATCTTGCTCTTGCCAAATAATCTGTTAAATTCTAATTATTAAATGCTTTTTTAATATTTCAAGGTCCTGTTCCATATGCATATATTACTGTCCTTTTAGACATATAATCTGTCAAAACAATTTTTTTTTTTTTAGTCAATTTTAAGTTAATGTTAGGACAGTGTTAAAAATTCACACTCTGGGGCTGGGGGTATGGCTCAAGCGGTAGCGGGCTCGCCTGGCATGCGTGCGGCCCGGGTTTGATCCTCAGCAAACAAAGATGTTGTGTCCGCCAAAAACTAAAAAATAATTATTAAAAAATTCTCTCTCTAAAACAAATTCACACTCTGGCTTTATAAAACAGTGGGAACACAAGGGCCTTTTGTCAAGATGCTGAGGTTAGACTTAAACTTCCAATCCTCCTGCCTCAGTCTCCAAAACTGCTGGGATTGGATGTGTTTTTGAATGCAATTTGCTATCAAATTAAGGATTTGGGCATTTATGTTCATCAGGGATATTGGTCTATAGTATCCCTTCCTTGATGTATGTTTGTCTGTTTTGGTATCAGTTATTATACTGGCTTCATAGAATGTATTTGGGAGTGTTTCCTTCCTTAAATTATTCAATAATAATTGAATAAAGACTGGTGTTAGTTCTTTAAAGATCTGCTAGATCTTAACTGAGAATCTTTATGGTCCTGGACTTTTCTTTGTTGGAAGGTTTTATTTTATTTTATTTTCATGTCTTTAAAATATTTACTTACTTAGAATGTGTTAGAGGTTTTTAATTGCTGTTCCACTACTTGATACTGGTTTGTTTAGGTTTTCTATGTCTTCCTGGTTCAGTAAGGGCAGGTCATATATGTTTAGAAATTTCTTTCATCTTTTCTCTCATTCTGCTCAGTCTAATGAGGTTAGGTGCCAGGAGGCAGAATACCATAGGACTCTCAGGGATTTACAGTCTTGACTGCAGGTGGTCCAAACAGTTGCCCTGGCTCTTATGTCCAGACCTGGCAGTTCAGGTTTCATCTAGAAAGTCTCTTTAATTCTCTGGACAGGCCTATAAATAGTAGTCTTTGTCACAAAGGTACATTGAGTTTTAGGAAAAGGTTAGGCAATTAAATCTCAAGATTTCCAGGTTTCAGCTTTTGTAGAGGGGAATGCTACTCAGAACAGTGAAGCTGGATGGTGTTTATAAGGTGTATCTTTGAGCACTGAACACTGTAGAGGGGCCTGATAAATGAGGCAGCCACAGGCTATGTTAATTTTGTGGTTAAATAGTAGAGGAGCAAGAGATTTGTTGTCTATCATGATTGCACGCCTTGCAATTGTGTTTCTCAGTAAGGAGTAGGTGTATATAACCTGACATTTATTACCTTCCAGCTGCCACAAGGTCATGTGTGGCAGGTGCTCTTGGTGGCACCTCTGGCTGGCCCCTCTTGCTCCACAGAGAGCAAGGCTGGGAGTGGGAGGAGGGCCTGTTGTGTTTGACCCCAACATGTGTTTAGGTTAGTGTTCCTTCTCCAGCACTTGTACCTGTTCCTTTCCTAAGATGTGTCCTTAGCCTGCTCCTTCTCCAGATTCCCCCCAAGTCCAGGCCCTCAGCTGCCCCCAATCTGGCTTATGGCAAAGGCAACCTTGGGATTTTTCTTCTCCTCATCTCTTCCAGGCTGGTATGTCTACTCCAGAATACAGACTATGGCCTGTGTCAGTTGTGGTCTCCTCATTCCTCTGCTCAGAGCACCTTGGTGACCTATTGCCTGTGAGATGATGCCCAGGCTTCACTGGGATACAGCTGTTCTTCCAGCTCTAAGACCCTGCCCTCTACCACTGGGTCCTTCAGACTTCAGGCTTCTCTCTGTTCCTGTGTGTGTCCCCAGCCGTGCTCCCTGTAGGCTGTAGTTACTCCCCTCACCCACATGATGTAAGGCCACCCCAGTCTGCCTTTTGAAAGCTCCCTTTATTTGCTCTAAGCCAGAACACTGGCTGCTTACTTTCCGGAGCAGATCCATATCTGGTCAACATCTGTCACAGCATTTATGTTCTGCTTTGCCTTGCAGTTCACCTGCTTCCCAACTCAGTTGCAGACTGTGGGGAGAGCGCCGTCTTCACTTCTTTTGGGTGCTGGCAGCACCTGTCCTGTGAGAGGTGCTCGGCAGATCCTCGATGCTGCATTCTGTGTGTTAGGTGTCAGTGCCTGCCTTTGGTCACAGACCTAGTTTTAAGCTGTCAGTGATTACCAGGGAAACTGGGCTCGTGCCATCCAGCCTTGCCAGGGGTGGGTCAGGAAGGCTGAGGTAGTCAGCAGGGCAGACGCCCCTGGGGTGCGAAGGTGGAGAGCAAGGTTGGTCTCCTGGACCCTTTCCCTCACTTGTGACGGTGGAAGTCACATCATCAGGGAGGTCTATAGCCACCCCAGGCACCAACCTCACACTCACGGAGTCTGTGAGGATGAATCACCCTTCTTTTTAGGTGTAGCCGCTGGCACACTTCAGTGAGTAGCAGTCACGTGAACTGCCAGCTCCGTGTGGGCCTCTGCTACCCCAGCAGATGGCTTTGGCTTTGCGTCGCTGTGCATGTGCTGTGCAGCAATGACAGGAACAGCCGAGCTGGCCGGCCATGGGCGCCATGACCTGAGACCTAGCTGGTATGCAGTGCCTGTCCAGATAGAGCTGATTGTTATTTCCCGCCTTGGGAGTTGGGCTGGGGTGTTCTGAAAAACAAAATTTTACAGCAAATGAGAACTAAAACCTTGAGTAGATGAGAGGGCCCCAAGGTTGTGCTGGCACTGTGCGAGGTGAGGCGTGTAGTACAGTGAGGGCAGAGGAAGCAGGGGCTGGAGCAGGGGTGCCCAGGGGAAGGCGCGGGTTTCCTGCCACCAGGGTAGATGGCATATGTGGCATGTGGGCTCTGCTGCTCCTGCCTCTTCCAGGGCTGGACAGCTAGCCTCAGCGGGTCTGAGCTGGTGCCTGGTGTGTGCTGTACACCTGTTACCAGGGGACCCTCAGGGGTGTGACCCCAGAGTCCAGCTGCCCCAGCACTAGGTCCTCTCAACCCTGGAGGGGTGTGGCAGCAACAGTGTTTATTCCCCTGTAGTCTCTATCGTGTCACTGGGGCACCATGGCACAGGGTGCTGGATGGTAGGTGCTGGTCATGACTCCTGTGATAGACAGGAGCCTGCTATCGGTACCCAAAGAATCTAGCCAGGGAGCAGGGTTCACAGTTGATGCTGAGTGAAGGAAACCAGGCTGGGGGGTTGAGAAGGAGCCACAGAGAGACTGCAGCTTGTCCTGCAGTGCAGGCAGTGACACCCTGGCCAATGAGAGCCCTCATCTGGGCTTTATTTCAGAAACAGTGTTGAGGTTTACCTGAGGCTCTGTGCCCGACAAAGGCCCAGCACTCCCACCGGAGAGGAGGGAAGCCCACTCGCTGATGAAGTTCCTATTTTAAGTTGTTTCTTTTCTTTTCTATCCTGTAGCACAACGTCAGCCCGCTTCAATATAAAATATATTTGCAGCCAGATATTGGGGTGGGGGGGTAAGGTCAATTTTTCTTTGTATTAAAAACTTTTCAACACTTTTTGGGAAACTCGTGGCTTCCCAGGACAAACTGAAATAAGATGGTTAGTGCAGTCCCATGAAGCTCTCATAGTGTGACTTGGTCCAATGACAAGTGAAGTTTAAGAGGCTTTGATGCCCCTCAGTTGCTCAGCTGTGTGTCTGGTTTACCCCCACCCCCACCCCACCCCCGCCACCCTGTCTCTGTGCCTTTTATTATTTATTTAGCTGTCAGTCTGCTTCTTACCTTTGTCACTGGGAGAGAAAGGCAAGGGAGCAAACTGGTTTTCTTTCATAACTTCAGCCTAAAACAGTTCAGTGTTGGGGAAAACACTTGGCCTCAGGGAATTTCAGGCTTATCTCTTGCTGTACGGATTTCTAGAGGATGAAAGTGACAAGGGTCCAGGAAAGTGCTTTCCATT